GGAAGTTCAACATGGCACCTCATGACAAAGAACTCTCTGAGGATCTGAAAAAAAGAATTGTTGCTCTACATAAAGATGGCCTAGGCTATAAGAAGATTGCCAAGACCCTGAAACTGAGCTGCAGCATGGTGGCCAAGACCATACAGTGGTTTAACAGGACAGGTTCCACTCAGAACAGGCCTCGCCATGGTCGACCAAAGAAGTTGAGTGCACGTGCTCAGCATCATATCCAGAAGTTGTCTTTGGGAAATAGACCTATGAGTGCTGCCAGCATTGCTGCAGAGGTTGAAGGGGCGGGGGTCAGCTTGTCAGTGCTCAGACCATATGCCGCACAATGCATCAAATTGGTCTGCATGGCCGTCATCCCAGAAGGAAGCCTCTTCTGAAGATGATGCACAAGAAAGCCCGCAAACAGTTTGCTGAAGACAAGCAGATTAAGGACATGGATTACTGGAACCAAGTCCTGTGGTTTGATGAGACCAAGATAAACTTATTGGGTTCAGATGGCGTCAAGCATGTGTGGTGGCAAGCAGGTGAGGAGTACAAAGACAAGTGTATCTTGCCTACAGTCAAGCATGGTGGTGGGAGTTTCATGGTCTGGGACTGCATGAGTGCTGCCGACACTGGAGCTACAGTTCATTGAGGGAACCATGAATGCCAACATGTACTGTGACATACTGAAGCAGAGCATAATTCCGTCCCTTCAGAGACTGGGCCACAGGGCAGTATTCCAACATGATAACGGCCCCAAACACACCTCCAAGACGACCACTGCCTTGCTAAAGAAGCTGAGGGTAAAGGTGATGGACTGGCCAAGCATGTCTCCAGACCTACACCCTATTGAGCATCTGTGGGGCATCCTCAAATGGAAGATGGAGCAGCGCAAGGTCTCTAACATCCAGCAGCTCCGTGATGTCATCATGAAGGAGTGGAAGAGGACTCCAGTGGCAACCTGTGAAGCTCTGGTAAACTCCATGCCCAAGAGGGTTAAGGCAGTGCTGGAAAATTTGGACATTTTTACTTAGAGATGTACACACTTTTGTTGCCAGCGGATTAAACATTAATGGCTGTGTGTTGAGTTATTTGGAGGGGGCAGCAAATTTACACTGTTATACAAGCTGTACACTCACTACTTTACATTGTAGAAAAGTGTAATTTCTTCAGTGTTGTCACATGAAAAGATATAATAAAATATTTACAAAAATGTGAGGGGTGTACTCACTTCCGTGAGATTATATATATATATATATATATATATATATATATGGGGTGGGGGGAGGACTGAGGGAGTGCTTTTGGTAAATATGATATTATATAACATAATAGAAAAACGATTGAGGAGCAAGCAGAAAGTACCTAGCACAACCACTTGGTGGTGCACCAATACATGGAAAAATAATTAAATGTATCAGGGATGCTCCAAACATACAGAAGATGTTGGCTCCCACGGACTTACACAGCCCTTTTCTGAGCAGTTTACTCTAATTTTTTAAAAAAACATACAGCAGCATTCAAAGGTCATCTACATACATTTCAGTACAAAAACAATACTGCAGTTCTGTTCATGCTGTTTGTATCTCAGGAAGGCTATCTACCCAAACATTTCTGCATCTGTTACATTTTCCTTTATTCCCTTAAATTAAAAAGAGTTAAATTGCATTTCAACTGCAACTGTAGATTAGTTATTACTGCTGCTTCCTAGTTTGCCATTAGAATGACAACCACTACCTTGTTCTAAAAAAGGACTTTTTATAGATAATAATAATGGAAAAAATGTTTGATGTATTTTGTTTTGCCATTAAATGTTTCCATTCAGTTTATTCTATTAAACAGAGATCTGTGTTTTAGAATTGCACATCTGCTGTACATTATTTATTAAGAAGTAAACAGGAACTGTCAAATTATCATTAAAAATGTAATACTCTCATAAGTTGCGAAATCTATCCCTAAATGGGAAAAAGAACAAAGAAAAACAGAGAATTGCTACTCTGAAGGTCAGCAGAAAGATTTAAATTTCAGAATGCCAGTAGTCTATAGTTTGGGCTAAACCAACTAGCCACTCAGAGAGGGCTCTAGATAGAGTCTTTGCAAATAAAGCTTGGTGGAATTATGGTATTGGAAGCACACCTAGAGGGTTAGAACCACCCTAAATTGCATAAATACTGTTTCTATTAATTTACATTTTCTTTCACACCACTAGAGAAGTGATATATTTATTTCCACTATTTCCCTGGCTCCCACATTACACATTATTTTACACAGCATACAGTATATATCCCAAACAATCACATCAATCTATATCCATCTAAGAAGCTGACAATCCAACATTCCTACCACACCTAAATGCAACTAGGATTACATGGAAGGAAGCCAATTAACCTGCCAATATGTTTTCAGATAGTGGAAGGAAACAATAAAAAAGAATGAGTGAGCGCTGAAAGTCAGTGAGCAGCTAAACACAAAAAGGTACCAAAAACCTCCGAAAATGAACAATAAAATAGCAGGGTGTAGCACTTAAAAGTTGATATTCATAATAAGATAAAAGAAACCATACATCATGTAACATGTCAAGCCTACTCAGCAGCTTATGAACATAGAAGTCATCAATGTATTAAATGATGACAGTTCTAAAAAAACAAGTGACATAGTGCAAACGCATATAAATAAGTGTATTGAGTCACTAATCAGTGACTCGCCATGTGCACGGTGTCAGGTATAAGTCCAAATATTAAGGCGCCTAAAGGTCTTCCGGATCCAAATGACTGGTCCAAACGATTGATGATAAGGAAAGGTGTAAAGACTGCACACTCATCAGATTACACTGCGCATTTAGAGATAGCAATCTCAAAGGACCAGGGTGTCCCCTTTAAAGGTCTGGTCAGGTCTGGAGCCCCTCTTAAATCAACATCCGCTGCCCATGGATGGCTCTCCTCCTCTGTAGATAGAAGGAGCTCAGAAAAAAGGAGGCCAATAGTGTGATACCGTATGAACAGAGGGTGCTTTATTAGCCAGATGGATAAACAAAAAATCACTGACCAGTATGGTGATCCAAGATGGCTGCCGGGACCGACATGGTGCCGGCAGCATGGCATCCTAGTGCCGGCAGCATGGCGTCCTAGTGCTGTAGCCCCTCGCTGACGCGTTTTGTGCGATGGCACCTACTCAGAGAGGGTCTGCATCCCACTTTGTCACTTGTTTTTTAGAACTGTCATCATTTAATACATTGATGTTTTCTATGTTCATAAGCTGCTGAGTAGGCTTGAGATGTTACATGATGTATGGTTTCTTTTATCTTATTATGATTATCAACTTTTAAGCGCTACACCCTGCTATTAGATAGTGGAAGGAAACTGAATACGCAGAAATAATCAACGCAGGTGGGCAAAGCATACAAAGTGCATGCAGAAAGGTGTGACCAGGACCCACAACCACAAGGCAAAAGTGCTAACCACTTTTCTACTGCAAAAAAGAAACATGACATGGTTGGCTAGATGTTCTGGGAATAATTACATTTGTCATTTTATCAGGTGAACATGGTTACAATTCACCAAAAATGCTTACAAATGATCAGTGGTGAGTGAAGGATTTCAGATGCCAACTAAAATGGCAGTAACAGCCTTTATTATTAGGTAGGCCATGTAAAGAAAAAAGAAGATTCAACAGAAATCGTACTGTAAAAGCATCAAAGCAATCTATATCTGTGGATTGGGAACAGGTTGAGGACATGATGCATTAGAACAGGGGGTCACAGATGTGTGAGATACACATGTAGGTCATGGAGTCTTGTTCATGAAGTCTACCTCTTAAAGCCTACAACCAGGGGCAGACTGACAACTCATGGGGCCCCCGAGCAATAGGGAATCGTGGGGCACCTGTGTCCTTGCCCAAACTCAAAAAAGCCTATGAAAAAGGTACCAGGGGCATCTCATGGGGCCCCCTACTGAGCTCGGGCAGTGCCCGAGTTTCTAAATGGTCAGTCCGCCCCTGCCTACAACCCTACTGATAAAATGTATGTATGTGCAGGATGTTATTAAAACCAATGTGTATAGAGATTACAACAAGTGAGAACTTCAGTTTATAAGCATTAGAGCTGTCAATATGTTTACTTGTTAGGATAGGTTATCAGCTCACATCTAAAGTGTGACTGCCAGGTTAGAGACAATTAAATATTTTCATATTATCATGAGCAGTACATAAGCTTTAAAACAAGCCTGCAGAGCTTTATAGCTGCAGGCACTGTGGAGCTTTCACTCTCACCTACGTTTACCTGCTGTGTACCTAGGACAACTGTGGCTTCTTCTTTATGTTTTCATCTCATATGGACAGTCATTGGGAACCAAGTCTCTTGATCTATTGTCTCTTGTATTTATCATTAATATTCTCTTTGACAAGCATATTGGACAATGCAAAAAACAACCAGCATCTTTTAATTGAAGGTGATTGGGTTTTGTCAAGCTTGTGGAGGCCCACTTTCACTGAGCCTGCTTTATAAATGCAAAAATACAGTTTTTATTTTTCAGTAACAAGACCTCAACAGCTGCTATTTAAAAAGCAAGCTCCACCTATCAGTGTAAAATACTGTACTGTAGGTGTTTTGTGCAAGTATGATAAACCAGGATCCTTACCTTATACATGCTACTCATTGTTCATTTAGTGTTTCTAGTGTATTATATTAAGTATTTTTGTCAAGTACATGCTTGGTAAGTGGTAATGTACTGTATAAGTATATATCTATAAATACATGCTTTTTTTTTTTTTTTTTTAAATGCTACATTTCTACTGAAATGCTTTATGTATAAGATTTACTGTTTTGTGAAAACTTACTGTTAAGCTCAGTTTAAAAACCTAAAACAGAAGACCTTTGATCCTGGCAGCACTGTGAACTTAATAAGCAGCAAAACGACTGATCAGGTCAATAATACCTTGCACAACTCAAGCTATTCAAACTGTGTTCCCTAAACAGAGAGCACAGAAGTTGCCTTTAGATGTCATTCTCTTACCTTAAGGGTGTTATGAGAGGTTACACTTCGCCTCCTGCCTCCATCTTCAAGCTGCATTTCTGAGTAAAGCTCCTCTTCATCTTCTTCCAAGATGTCGGATAAATCTGAGCCTCTGCTGCTTTCAGTGTGGTAATCATCACCAGGACAATAGTGTGGCTAATCAAATGATAAAAACAAAAGTGCATACTAGTCATTAATCCTAGTGAAAGAAATGCAAAGACAAACAGAAGATCGAAGCAGCTAAAACAGCAGCTGCATCTTTTGCTAAAAGGTCTATGATGCTGCTAATTGGCAAAAAAATAAATAAGACATTATAGAAAAGTCTTCTGCAAACCAATAAGGGTGAATTATAGTATGTAGGGAGGTGTAGTGTTTTGGTATATCTGCTGACCCAAGGAAAGCACTGTGTTGCTTTTTCAGGTTGGCAGGAACTCATTAGGGAATAAGTTGACTCCTGTTATGAGGAAGCTAGTGCATGTAAAAGACAGTGAAAACCCATGAGATTTGGATGGCCATTTTGGCATAGTCATTGTATATATATGCTCACCATTTTAAAGGGATGGCTCACATGGGAAGAGAGCAGAGAAGCAACATCATCAACTAACAGCATAGAGGAATAGACTTGGTTACCCCTTGCAGGAAACTGTGCCCCAATTGTTAAGGAAAGCATTTCTGTATGGGACTTGAGAAGAAGAGGGAGAAATAGGATGTAGCACTGCAAGGACACATGTGTAGGCTCATTTTGGGAGGCCCCAAGCATGTAGTTGGAAAAGTGGGATGGGGGATCCTATTTGAGAGGTTACTATAAACAAGTAACAGAAGTACCGCAGCACCTTTCCTATGAAAACTACAATAGGAACAGTGCTGGAATGTACTGTACCTGGCACGTTATCCTATGTTTAGGAAAGTTCTTACCATTCTCATTTCCCTTACAATTGGACTCTGTCTCTCACCTTGTGAGGCTATAATCCAACCACATGCATGGAACTAAGTCAAGCCATGTTATTGGGACTGTACCTGCTAAGTGATGTTAAGTAAAGTGCAATGTGTTTGCCCCATCCTGGGATGATTCACATTTCTGTAGGGCACTACCTGGAGATTTGAGCACATTGCAGCTAGGAGGTACCTACAAATATGGTTGGCAGTTGTTCAGTTAAGTATTCAAGATAAAGTCAAGGGAAGGATAAGCAGGGGAGTAGTAGAGATATAACACAATAGCACTCAAGACCATTCTTTTAATCTATTTGAGTGATATTGTCCCCAAGGGAAGTCATTTAGTGGGCATTTGCCAGTTTTAATAGATATAGAATTGTCACCAAATGTAGCCAAAAATGGCTAGATGGAGTAACTGTTATGCTGCTTTATACAACCAATATGTTGACTGCTTACGGTTTAGAAAAATAAAATATAGTTACAATGGATGGTCATGTGGAGAGTCCTCATGAATATCCATCACTTGAATATACATAATAAACAAATGTAAATTAGTACAGAAAATGTTACTTGGAATACAATTAACATATTATTACCCACTAAGGCATGTAGCACTTGAGTAACTGAGCTATGCCCTTTAAAATGTAGGCCAATGTACTTTAGTTTCATTAATTTAATGTAATCTAAATGACATCTGCTCACACCTGTCACGTCAATCAGTTCCCAGAAAATTAGGTTACTAATCTTTAATAAATGTCCAATCATATAAAAAATGCTGGGAGAATCAAGTTTACATAACATATACAATACAGCAATTACGCTGCCCTATGTTTATAGCTGATTGTCAGAATTCTTCTGTTTGAAATGTATCATGATATAGTGACTGATTACAACCTAAAATCCTCACAAATGTTAAATATTACTAATTGAATTACACATTTATTACTGTAATAATTTTCCACCAGTTAAATTGTATCATTTTCCCAGTTGCTTATCCTCGATAAATGTTTTAACAGACAGATGAAGAAGTGCAGATGTTTCACTCATTACAGTCCAATTAACTGTGTATTTGAGGCCCAAATAATAATTTTACAACACAAGTCAATGTAAGACAGCTATTTAATCTTTCGTTATTAGCAGCATAAGTTAAGAAAACAGTGCCTGACTAACTATCATATCTCTTTTGGGCCAACATCATTAATAGTCCTTACACCATGTTTGGTATCTGCATTTGAAAAAGTAAGAGTCATAAACTATATAAACTATTAAGGTCCAATTCACACCTTTGTATGTTGGAAAGCAAAAAAAATGCATTTGTCAAAATCAATGTTATTCAATGAGGCTGTTCAGGTCTATGCAGCGTGGTTTGAAAAATGAGCCATGTCTGTTTTCTCTGTACATTTTCATGCACTGTGATTTTGAATAGAATAATGAAAATATATGGAAATTCTCTACATTGCATGTTAAAAAACAGACAAAAAAATCAACAGGAGATAAAACAGATAGCTATAAGCCTGACCTTATAGTAGTTCTAAAGTCTAATAATTTTTTTTTCCTTAATGCATTCCCTGCATTAAGGTAAAAAATGTCCCAGTAGTCGTTTTGGGTTCCCCTCCCTTACCTGACTCAGCTCATGCTTACAGCAATGGGAGCCAGGAGCCATAGGCTTCCATTACTGTCAGTCACATCCTGTGAGGAGGGAACAGGGGGCTTGGCCAAGCCATGCTGTGTGTTTTTCTCTGGATGCACACAGCCTAGCTTGGAAGCATGCCTACACAGGTGCCCCCTCAGCACAAGGTTTGTTAGGGGACACTCGTCAGCAGAAGTAGCAGAGAGCGTCAATCGGGGACAGAAGAGCAGGTATGGGACCACTCTGTTCAATACCATTGTACAGAGCAGGAAAGTATAGTGTAGGCTAGACAATCAAGATAATTGTGGAGTCATCAAACAAATATAAATAAATGAATGAGGGCATCATCCTAAGTGGATGAAAGCTAAATCACATAAACAGCAAATAACAGGGAATTTCAAATATTCACCCCCCACAAAGTTATTGAATCAACATAGAACAATAAATATAAATAAAACCAATATTTTTTTTATTGTTAAAAATTTACTTAAAATCCTTCATATATAAAATAAAAAGGGTTAGATCACATAGTTATGTATATGACAGAATACAAATACATTCCAACATGGTTTTATTAATTAATGGTCTATATGTTTCACAGGTATTTCACTTCTTCAGGACTCAGGATGCACTCCCATATAGATCCTTTAATATCGATCTGTCTATGAAAAAAAGCTATATCCCAACAAGGCTGCCCCCCATAACAGAGTGAAAAAAATACCACCAATACCCAGCATACACATCATAAAACTCTTTTCTTAGCTCAAAGATAAACATCCCAAACATGGCCAAACAGATAGGTTGGAATGATCCTCATGGATATGAGAATACACCTCGAGTCCTGAGGAAGCAAAATAAGCATGGAATACACAGACCATTAACTAATAACACCATGTTGGGATGTGTTTGAATTCTGTCATATGCATAACTGTATAATCTAACACTTTTGATTTTATATATGGAGAATTTTAACAAAATATGTAGCAATAAAAAAGGATTGGTTTCATTTATATTTGTTCTGTGTTGTTTCAATAACCTTGTGGGGTGCATATTTGAAAGTACCTGTTAATTGCCGTTTGTTATTTAGCATTAAGTATAAAATGTTTTTTATTTTATTAAAAAGCAATGCCTTTACAACCACTTTAAAGAGAAACTTCCCCACAACCTAGTATATAGTATATATATTGTAAATAAAACACACACTAACTAGTCCATAGAGTCCAGCATTATCTTTTTTGCAGCCCAGTGTTCTTCTACGTTGTTTTGCTCCTGTGCTGTCATTTTTCCCCAAAATCTGATGCATGCACAGACATGCTGCTTGGATTTTACAGGTCCCCAGACTGGCAGAGACCTGCTGGTTTCTATTCAAGCATGAGGGTTTCACATTATTCCATGCACCAGATCCTTTAGACCCGTGGTATGTCTGCGCATGCATGAGATGGCACTGCACATGTCATTCTGAACTAGGGGAGAATGCAGGAGCTTAACAAATAATAATAAAACATATAATTGTTTATTATTTTAAAATGATCCCCCTCTCCCAATTGTGTAAGAGGTGGGGGGGGGTGACAAAGTCAGATTTATGGGTGACGTTCTGCTTTACTCTACTGGGACAGGAAAGATGCATGTTGTAAGAAAAGGCCCTTATGCCTACATCTCTGCAGGTCTGTTTTTTGAGCAGATCTTACTTATTTCAACAAAAGAGGCAGCCTAATCTGATCCTTTAAAGAAGGGCCATTTAGGCTCTGGTTGGCCCAACCCCTGTTTCAGACCATGATTCACAAGCAAGCTATCAAATGTTGGGGTCACCTTATTCTCTCCACACTGCAGCAGGAACATTGGCCATGATTTAACATCAGGCCTCAACATCTATGGATTGATTTACTAAAGGCAAATAGGCTGTTTACTTTGCAAGGGCATTTTTTGTTAGCTTAGTAAATGCCATGAACATCTGCAAGTTTAAAAAAAATATATATATATATTTTTTTTGTTAGCATATGATTGCATGATGGTAGTCAGCATCTCAGTCACAAAAGCTAAGGGAACATTTCATTTGCAAAGTAAACAGCCTGACTTCAGTAAATCATCTCTTTGGTGTCTCAATTATCTGTAGAAGTTGGGGAGGGGAGATAGAGAGGAGCAGTACACTAGGGAAAACCTGGTACACACTTGTATATGCCCTGAGAACTGATGTGCATGTTTACAAAATGTCACTATACAGGATTGAAAGGTATGCCTGTTGAGCCTGCAGTTGCTCACTAGTGTATGCATACACATTCTTAACAGCACATTATTATTTCCAAAGTACTTTAAGCAAAATGAATGTGCTTATATCAAAATCAAAGCAAGCATAAAGTACCAAAGTATTAACAATAAGGACAAATCTACAGTAGCTTTCAGTAACCACAATGTGTGGTGGGGAAGGGGAAGATCAGTTGTTCACATTTTATACTCACCTGTTTTCCAAGCTCTGAGCCTTTTAGAAACTCATCAACAGAAGCCCCTTTTCTTTTAATGTGCGGAGAGTCATAACCATCCTCTTCATCATCTGAGTTAGCATAATGCATTACATTGCTACGTTCACTGAACAGGTTCCTCTTCTCATTCTGATTTGTGGGAAAACACTCAAATGAGATAAACATTAATATCAACAGCTTAGCCATCCCCTATCTCCTGCATAAGTGTTCAGTGAAGGAAATGTAATTTAAAATTTGTATCTTTCAAAGTAATAGAAGGTCTACATTTTTACCATATTTTAATACACAAAACCTAAAAATAACATGAAACCTGTGCTGAGAGCAATACAGGAGCTCTTATTGCTGACTTCCTTCTGAAAATGCTAAGTGTCTAGCTGTTTCTGGTCAGATCAAGTATACAACAAATGAAGTCTGGGTGATGTCAGAACAACTGAATTGTGTATTTTTCCAAATTAAGTCCCTCAGAAAGCACTGAAGTGATTAGATCAGTAAGTAACATTTTTAGAGGGAGAAATTACCCATCACAGCTAAATATATGTGAACCAATCTGTGTGAGTTAAAGCTTGTGGAGGATTAAGCAGATTCATTTGAGGTAGATGCTCATTGACATCATTTGAGGTTGGCTGTGACATGGTAGGTCCCCTCATCAAGCCTAGCATCACATTGAGCTAGGAAGTGGGGGGAGAAGCATTTGTTCTGTCCTCTGGGTCAGAACAAATAAAGTGTGTTGGGGTAGTGGCCTTGAATGGAGAAACTCTTTCCTTCAGAAGCTCACTGTGAGATCACAAGTGCCGTCAGAGGGGTGTCTGCCAGCATTAACTTACTTTGTAGCTTTAAGATGTTATAAGACCCAAAACAGAGAGCTGCAAATGAAGTAATTGGTGGAAGAATGCAAAACTGTGAAATGCGTTGTACTCATTTGGTACAGAAAGCACAATGATGAGGATTATTTGTGGTGATGCCATCATCTAGATTGTAAGCTCCAAGGAGCAGGACCCTCCTATCCCTCTTGTATTGAACTGTATTGTTGCTGTATTGTCTCCCGTTATATTGTAAAGTGCTGAGCAAACTGTTGGCACTATATAAATCCTGTATAATATTAATAATAATGTTTTAATTAGGTGAGTACATATAATTTTCACAAAGCAGCAGTCACTTTGTTTGGCTTCTAAAGAACTTCTTCATTTACAATTCATTTCATAGAGTCCCCAATTTTATGCATATTTATCCACAATACCCTCCTTTCACCATGGCCATTACTTACTATGACACACATCCTGTACTTAATTTAGTCCATCAGAATTTTTCCCTACAAGAAAAAGGATGTTTGGTTGTGCCTGCCTCCCAAATCAAGTGTTCCCAGTCTTCATTGATTGCCTTTGATGTGGAAAATAAGCTTCCTGGTATAAATATCTTACCATGGGAGACATAATACTATGCAGGATATGTAGGGATCCCAAATAACACAAACTCTTACTTAACAGTTTATGTATGTGACTTGAAAAGTAAACACATACTGATCTCTACCCATACTCCCTTGCTTTCCATCTTAGGAAACCCTGTCTTTCCCCCGGGACTTACCCCTCCCTCTGTTTCATAAATGGCTAAGGCTCAAGATTCGGGTATTCTTCCTTTTGAAACTCCCAAAGCAACCCCCAAGGATAAAGTGTGTAGATTCTGTATTAGAGTTTGCTTAATGCTTTATACAGTTATGGGTAAATCCTTTTAGGAAGACCTTTATGAGTCCCTCCTACTTCAGCAGCCTGAGGAATGCAGTAAACACTCATGGATGGACATGATGCACATCCACATGGCAGAAAACGAGTCATAGTGCATGCTTGGAGTACACCGACCATCCTTTACTGAAGTCAAGCACCATGTTTCACAAATGATGATTTTTCAAAAACAATACTGCCCACCAATATGACAAGCTGGCTAAGTTTTATAGATATAAGAGCCATGGATCGAGTCCTATATTCCACCTACTTTTGATCCAGAGTCTCTGCTTCTATAAAAGCGAGGAGGAGTGAGTCTCTCGAGTGCTGAGAACTTCTGCTCTTTCTCTCTCTTTTCCTACTCTCTTTACCAACTAGTCCCTCCTTCCCTCCCTTATTTCCTCTTCCAACTCCCACCCATTTCCCTCTCTATTTTTTCCCATTGGTATCCCCTATTTTATATTAAGTTTTGTCGGAGTGCAGGGTGGTTCTATGCACCATTGGAGGAGCAGTACTCTGAACCCATTTCTGCTGGTCTTGGTCCTATACATACCGTCTTTTTATCATTTTCTTCTATTGCCTTTCGGGACATGAAGCGCACCTCACACTAATGGAATGTTTTATCTTACATATCTTACACTGTCCAGACAGAGGTCAGAGGTTCTGAATCCTCCTAAAGCAGAATGAAAACTCCTACAAGCTTTAATATGCGCTTTTCTGAACACTGATAGAAGTCACAAGACTGCTCTAACTGCTGATCAGAAAAGGTATTTAGCAGTTTATATTTACTAATATAATTTCACTTCAATGTTTTTTGTTTACTGTGGGAGACCAGATATAGTGAATGCAGGGTCCTGGGTTTAGTAACACTTTAATACCCTGGTCTATTTCTGTTTGGATTGTGTAATGCCTTGTTATGTCATTTTTAAAGTTAAATTGGCTTATATAAGAATGTTGATTTCTCTTTCACTTTGTATCATTCACCTTGCTGAACTCAATCTTGAAAATTAATTAAAAAATGTATTGAACAGAAAATGTGTGTATACATTCTCCTTCCAGCTATTAAAACACCCCCAAAACATTGTCTTCAGTATTTTCTACAACACAAATTCTACCAAAACAAGAATGCAGACTAGGTGTTTTGACTTCACTCTGACTTTCCTGCTCTGCATTTTTGTTCCACGTAAGCATCTCAAAGTTCTGAACCAGCAAAACAGTTGCAATTGCAAAGAGACAGCCATTCAATGGAAGACAGATGTATTTCTCTCAGTACAGATCCCCTTTAGGACATTATCTCTACAGTTTTACCTGTTTAAAAAAGCCTGGTTGGTTACAGTCATTTAAAGTGTATTTCTCTGAAAGAGAATTTAAAGACTTTTTTATATATGTATACAAAGATAGGGGGGGAAATAATTAGTTGTGATTTTCACTTATTGGTTCATGTTCAAGGTTCTGTGTAGAATGTATTGCTGCCAGACCCATTCAGCTTGCATTTGACATCAGAATCTTCTTTCTGCTCAGGTGCTCATAATCTAAGTTTGACCCCATCTAAGCTGCTTTTGCATTCTCACTGACTTTTATGGAAAGATTTGGAGGCAATTTTGATTAAAACAAATGCCTGTGTACACAGGCCCTTAAAGGTTCAGCCATTTGCACATAACTATATGTTACACAGAGTGGTTCCAGAAATTATTTGTTTACCTTTACTTTTTGCATTTGTGATTGCAAATTGCTATTTGCTGAATATTAAGGTTTAAAACTTTCCAGGGTCTCTAGCCAAAACCTCAGGTTGGCTAAATAATGTTATGGTCCACTGCAGACCTTTCTATGGCTTTGCTCATTACCATTGAAACAGTGCAAAATGTATTTGCCTGTTTTTACTAAGCACCATTAGTAAGAAACATCTCAAATATTAACCCCAAGAAGTTAGATTCTTTTTCGCCTGAGCTTCTCATTAATACACCAAGTTGACAACGAAATTGTTTATGAAATACATAATTTAAATTGTGCATACATTACCCTGTTACTCTCTGCAACTCTTTGTGCTGCTTCTCTTGCCATTGCTTTGGCCATTGTATTTGATATGGGTGCACCTTGTGGTTGCGGTAGAATTCTTTGTGGGGAAGGTGACCTCCTACCATGACCTGAAATGTGAAAATTTGATGTTGGAGGTTCCAAGGTATGTCCATGCACTGAGGATACTGAATGATGGTGTTCCCAAGACTCATCCATTTTCCCGTGAGGACATATGTGTTCATCTTTGGTATCTGGTACACCAGCACTTGATAATGGCTTGCATTTGGGCATAGTCCTTGTGTGTTGTTGAAGTGTTGGAGGCACCAGTAGTTCAGATGGAATATAAGCAATATGGGAGTCATCAGATTCCCCTTGTGTTGACAAGGTTCTCACTGTAACCTCCTTGGCATCTAGATTAAGTATTTTCAGGAGATCCACCACAATATTTTCTGCAGCAGGGAATACCACTTCTGCCACCTGCATTTACACATAAAAAAAGAAGGATACTGAGAAACAGTAAACTGTTTTTGACTACCTACTATTGTATATGCTGTCTTCTCATTATTTGTGGAAATGATCATACAATAACAGAAATGTTATATGCCTCACTATTTGAATGAGCCATAAATTACTGCTGCCCTTGACTTTTTAAGGCTATCTGCCACCAAGAAAAGTGCAGTCAGTGAAGTGTTCAGTTAAATTGGTAGAAAGTGGGGGAAGGACTCTCTTACATTGAAAGACAGTGGACAAGAGCCCCATTACACAGGTGGTCAATGGAAGAATGCTCCTTACTTTGGTGTCAGTGGGAGGAAAGATAGCTTACAGATAGCTGAAGTAATCAGAGCTAACTTATCTAGAAGGCAGAAGTTGTTCAATTGCTTAAGGAACCCCTAGAAATTACTGGATGAATGCTAGCTCAGAAAAGCTGATCGACCGTGCAGAATAAGCAAGAAATCTGCCATGAAGTTTGCTACAACCATTGCAGTCTAAAAGAGTGTCCTGAAGAGGATTGGCCTTTTTTCTCAATACAGAGTTTTATCCTAATTTTAAAAAAATCAGTCTGGATTGGATGCAGCCTTTCACACACATTGCAGTGGCAATTGATCCAAAAGTAAAAGAGTTTCTACATGGCTTTCTAAATAAATGTGTTAAAACTACCAATTGTTTTTTACTAATTATTGCTAAGGCAGCAGGGATTTAAACCATACTATTTGTTCTGTGCTGATCTTATCTGGTCTACATTACTTTCTTCTTGCTTCATGTATGAAAGATTTGCTTTAAAATGTTTTGTAAACAAACTCTGACATAATCAAACTGGTCCAAAGATGGCCCAAGAATTCAGATCTACATACATCATATAATATGTCTCCTATGTATAGGATCATTGCATCACTGGCATAAAGAGTATAAAACTTGATTCATGCATCTCTGAATTACTGCTGTATAAATGATACAAAAAAAAAAACAACAAAACTATTTATAGGAATACCTTAAATACTGGTGAGAAGGTATGTGGTAACTGGTGGGCAGCACATGTAATGGATTTCTAGAATCTGAATCTGGCTGTATTACTGCTTCACATATAGCTAAAGTTCAGGTGTCAAAATCATTGTGTTCCTTGTAAGGATCAGGTTCAATTTGGAAATTTAAAATACGTCCTTAATTAAAGGACTTACAGTACCTATTATTAGCATCTATTACTTATTAGCATCTAATATACACTGAACAAAGACAAAGGTTGGATAGAGACCCTAACACTGGTCATTTAAGGCAAATCCTACAAAAATCTAATGCTCGGTGACATTTACCAGTTCTGTCTTGCCCACATTTCTCTACCTATACATGTGACTTTTTATAATACTTAAAAGCAAAATTGTAATAGCAAAGATTTACATTTTTTACATAGTAGCCTACCTTTTGTCCCCTTGCATACACAGAAAACCCAGTGACATTGGCTCCATTGGAGGTCCCTGTAGGTGACAGCACTGGTGGTCTCCATGTAACTAGCAGCGTAACTGGCGTAGGCCCAGGATGCACAGAAACATCTTCAGGTGCAACAGGGGGACCTGCCATTAAATGGAACATCTTATATTGCAATAATAAAGGTGCACAGCACATCAAGAATGTTGACCTACACATATTTAAGGCTAGGTCCACTAAATGGCCGAATGTTTGTGGAATCCAAACCATCACACCTACAGTATATAAGCTTGCTGAAAATTAATTCCAAAGCATTCTGAAACATGGGCACTCTCCTGGGAAGGGTTTCCACAAGAATCATGTGTGGGTCTGTGGGAATAGGTGTTCAGTCAGCCAAAAGAACATGTTTGAAGTCAGGTACTTATGTTGGACAAAGACCTGGCTTAAAATCAGCATTCCAGTACATCCCAAAAGGTATTGAGTAGGGTTGAGGGTTGTGTAGTGCACCTCAGATCCTCTTAACTCATCAAACCATTTCTTTATGAACCTGCTCTTGTGTATCTGAACTCAATTTGGAGAGGTGTTCAAATACCTTTGGCCATGATAGTGTACATCAGCTCTTGTTTGAGACAACGGTTTGCGCAAAATGAGACAAAGGTCTCTTAGAAATACCTGCTTCTTTATACCTATGCTTACCAATTAAAACTAAACTCCAGACAAACAGCTAAATACATAGCTAAATTACACATATATAAACATCTTAAGCCGGCTATACACTAGTTTTCATACGAATATGTGTAGAAAATTCTCAGTACATACAACACCTTGATGAATGTTTTTCGAAAGCAGTTAAAAATTTTGTTTGCTTTTAACATTCAAGTGAGTAGACTTTATCTAAGGAAAGCCACATAAAATATGAAAAACCCATTAATTTGAGAAAAAAATTCCATTCTGCTCCTTCAAATTTTTTCGTCACTGCAATCAAAAACAAATGTTGATTTGACCCCACTAATGAGTAGAAAAATTTGTGAACATTTTTAAAACAAATGAAATTTTACTGGTGTATACCCAGCTTTACCACCAATTGTATATCTGATCATGCCGTTTTGTGATACGACCATTATTACATTTCTTTGCAGACTACACTGTGGTCTGTCCTATGGGTCTGGGACCCATCCCCAGACATTGATAGAACAAAGAAGGAACAGCAATTCATCTTTAAAATTATCAACAGTCTGTCTCTTCCTTTCAGGAAGACCAAGTGTTAAGATTGACAGTACTCAATGTTATAAAGTGAGATTGGTGTACAATGTTCCCCCTGCATGCCACCATGCAGGAGCTTACAGGGAACTAATGTAAAAGCAGATTCAGGTACTGCTTCCATCTGTATGGAAATTATATTTCATAAAATTCAGCTTAACTATGGAGAACTTGCTAACAGATTCCCCAAGCAATAACCTAATGTGTTGCCTCTGATAAATGGTTTATACCAGTTCATATGGATGTATAATAACCTAGCCTATGCTACAATAAAGACAGCATGCATATGTTCCCGAATATCAAATCTAGCAGTAAAAAATTGTCACCAATCTTATATAAAAAACTTTCCTGCATACTGGTGGCAGCAAATACATGATATAGTTAATTTTGATTTTAGTTAATCAAAGCTAAGATGTTCCCAGCAAATGATTTAATGACTTAATGTAACATAAAATAAATAAAAAATTGCAAGAATCAATTACAGTGACTAGCTGTGCCAATTAATCAGACTGAGACTTGGAACTGTTATGAGGTATCTTTGCCATATGATTCAGAGTTTGGGATGAGTCTAGACATTAACCCAGATGAGCAAACAACCCCATGCACAGGGCAGATATATAATCAAGCACTTTTACTGCAAAATATTAGTACTGATGATTATTCCACTTTTAAGGGGACAGCAGAAGAAAGATTATGGAAAAAATAAATCAACAAAATAGTTATAGGAAGACTATGTAATTATTATCAATTTGAAGGCATGGAGCTGTATGCGTGTGGTTAAAAAAGGATCACAGCTATCTGGAACAAATAGATGTAAACACAATTTCAGTTTGCATTTTGGCAACCAGGCAAATGTATGTGCCTGTAAATCAGTCCATTATTCAAGTGTAAGCTTTTAAATATAGGTTGAAACAATGTTTTCTGCATTAACCATTGCTCTTCTGGTACCTATAGTCATGAAATGGCTGCTGGTTCTGTTCATTCCTTCTCTTTAAATTGGAAGATGGAAAATTGAACACATTTTATTATACAATAGTATAGTTATGATAAATATCATTATATTTAATAATACAATTTTATTTACAATACACGTTACAGTTCCCTATTAACTAAATAATGTAATGTAATTCTCAAAAATATACCCCAGGTTGGCTCCACAAAAGGCAATATTAGAAATTGTAACTTTATTCTCTCTTAAAAACTAAGGAAAAGATTTTGGTTGGTCATAAGCTCCACCCGAACCCAACGTGTTGGCTGAGCCAGTTTGCCTGCCTGAACCTCCAGCTGCCATCACTGGCAAGGATCGTGGGTGATGTCACTGATCAAATATGTTCATAACAATATTTGGTTAATAACATCACCCAGGATCCCTGCTGGCCTGTTCACATGGTGGGAATCTGTAGTTTGTTATGAAAGTAGTGGTGGATGCACATTTTTGAGTGCAGTGAGTCACCATCAACGGAAGTCCCTCATTGCAATTTATGTGGATCTACATTGCTGGATGATGTGATTGATGTCTAATTTACATTATGACACATTTATTTATTTTTTAATAAAGAGCATTTATCACAGTTTGGGTGTTTATAATTACGTTTTACATTTTTGTTGTGAATGAGCAGCAATGGAAACTCTGTAAACTTTACTCACTCACCTGGAAGGGTAGCTATCTGGAGGCTCGCTTATTCTGAAAATGGCTTCCAGATTTCAATAAGACCCCCTACAGCCCCCATATCCAATTTGGTGAACAGAATTTGGGGTGAGGCCCCTGTCCCTATCAACATGGGGTCAAGGTGGCCTGCATAGGAGGATGGCTTGACTGACCCACCTTGCATGCGAACGTCCCAATTTTCAAAGCGTGTGGCCTGGTACAATTCAGGATGGTATGGGGGGTGGAATGCCTTTATGAATTTTTAGGGAGTCCCATGGCTCCTTTTTATTTATTGAATGTCATAAACCCCATGCAAGTTCACCAGTTCACAGAGTTTTTTGAAACAACAGAGTGGTGGAAGAACACTGGGAAGGTGAATAAGTGGGGGGTGGGATAGGGTGCACAGATTTTGTGGCTAGCAACAAACTCTTTCACTTTGCTCGGAGATATCCCTTTAGATATTGTGCTTTAGATATCATCAACCACACGGCAAAAAGTCTTGTTATAACTCAGTCATATGACTCATTGCATTGTAAAAAGAACAGTAAAGTGCAACCAATGTGTAGCAGTGCAAAATAGAACACACAGCTTGCACATGTTATGAGCAAATGTTGCTGCCTCTAAATACACAAACATTTACAGTATATGAATAAATAAAAATATTAGCATGCATTCATAGGATTATTTACATTAAATAACGTGAATCCTACATTAATTTATAGAGGAACTTTACCCTCCCAAGCAAAATACCCCCCCCCCATTACATTTGGTGATTGTTTTCAAATCCGATACTTACAGGCCCAAAGGATCAAGCGCTGTCCTCCTATATCACCCCGATGTCCAGGTCCTGTTTCTTGCTGATATATTTATTCTTTATGTCACAGGAAGTCTGTTTCTTTCTGCTTCTTCGGTTGGCTCCCCACTGACACAGCACAAGATCTTGCACATATGCAACAAGGGATCTGGCACCATGACTGTTTACATACTGTTCTGTGAATAAAGAATAGTAATGCCTCCTGGGATATGATGCCAAGTATCCCAGGAGGCATTACTTTTCCTCCATTCAAAGAACAGCATGTAAATAGTCATGATGCCATGAGCAAGGTCTGTGCATGAGTAAGATCTGCCCCAAGTCTGTTTATGTGAATGGGAAGGATTCTCCTCCTGCAACCTCCTGGGATATGGGACGTCCATATCCAAGGAGACTGCAGTAGCAGATTGAAAGTAACATTTATGTCCAACTTTTTCCTTTCTTCTCTCACAGCAGCCTTCTGGATAAATAATTTTGTACCTTTAACACTTTATTCAGAATGATTCACTTTTTTGATTGTCTGTCCTTGCAACAGATGTTTTCTCTTGCAGTACAGGCGGTATGTAATAGAAAAGATTCCACAAAGTGAAATATAAAAACAAGGTACAGAGCAATACACGAAGGAAACGCAGACAAAGTATGTAATTACAAAGAAGATTATGAGTGTAATCTATATCAGAAGCTATTTTCATAGAGGTATAAGGGAAATATTGAAAAAAAAATTAAACAAATTTATGAATGCATGATTAATCATCTGCCTTGGAAAGTCAATGTAAACATTACGTTGGATAAAGTTTACAGAGTGTAAGTAGCTGTACAAGACTAATTACAGAATTGGCTGATTATAAATGTGTGGATGATCAGAATATTACTGATGTTTTAAAAAACATGACCCATGTGATGAAAGGTTCAGGCTAAATTGCAACCATAGCTTATAGCATGCTACATCATAGTAGCATACATTTAGGTATGTAGGAAAAACTTTGTTAAGATAATACTTCAGCATTGTCACCCACCCGGCAAGTATACTACAGTGATATCGTACTGATATTAATTTAATATAGTGTATATATACATATACAGTATATAACACATATTACCGTACTTTATTAAGCATAGTGTGCACAACAATCAGATATTTGTTAAAGTGTATTGAAACAATTGAGTACTGACGTGATACTTTTTTTTATTTGCAATACAATTTTGAGGACAAGTTTTTGGGGTATGTCCCCTTCTTCAAGGTCCAGGCAGTACTACTCAAGTATCATGTCAGTACTCAATTGTTTCTGTCGCAAGTGCACTAATACGGCTACAATCACCTCAAGTTAAAGTGTATTAAAACCCAAGAACAAAAAATTATTTACAGTATCCTTTATATGTGGTGCCTTCACTAATTTAAATTTTTCAGGATTTTCCCCTTATCAGGTCAGTAACATTTCCTATCCTAGGATGACAATGCTCACTCACTGGGCTGTATCTATAGAGGAGCAACATTGTCACCCTAGACTGCTCTGGTGACACCTCTGTAGGGGTGGTGAATACAGAGGTTCTGTAGTGTACAGAAGAGAACTGGTAAAAGCTCTTAACATGGTTATGATATTTCAGATCAGTGCACAGGAAGGTACAAGTACACTAGATTTCTAGAAGGATCAACAGATATTGTTTTACTTAAATAAAGGGTATTCAGATTGTAAGCTCGAAAGAGCAGGGCCCTCAATCCCATCAGGTTTTGCATTGTATTGGTATTGTTCTGTCACATGTTCTGTCCCCCTTTGTAATGTACAGCGCTGAGCGAACTATTTGCACTTTATAAATACTGTATAATAATAATAAAAAAAAAGAAAACTAACAAAGCCACCAACTTTAAGGACTGGTAAGCTGCAATATATTATTTTTATTTCCTTGGGTTAAATATACTTTAAATTCAATTTGAGATCACTTTGTACTTCACTTTTTTTCCTCCCAGCAAGCCAACATGAATTCTTGGTAAAGGCATGACAAATGCATGAAAATACATGGAAGAGCAGTCATAAAAAAATTTTAATAGCAATTCGCCCAGTGGAAGTGCATGTATATTTGTTCTGTGCAAATGGGGCAAAAATTATTGTTACTAGACTAATTCCTGGGCTGGTTGAATGGTTTTATTTGATTTAAAATACAGCATAGCCCATTAGATGGCACTAAGTATCACAGAAATTTCCTCATTGCCATCCCCACCGTGCCTCTATGACTGCCGCCTGAGGCAGTTTTCTCAACTGATCGCATGCCCAACATGGCCCTGTATAACAGTATATACAATTTGAAAGAACACAAATATGTATATAACATTTAATTAAGCTGGTACATTATACTTTAGATATTTTGAGGATCTTCTACAGAAATCCTCAGGTATAAATACTGTCAACTTCTCAGAAACTGAAATTTTCCAAATAACTAATGTGTTGTGAATAAGTTTAGGTTGGCGGCCGCTGTCACTGTTCTTGTATGGAATTATAGGATAGCGGTCACCTGCGTGTAGCAAAATAATCCCCTTCCCCGAAGTGCCACCTTTGTCTCTATATAAAAAATGTCTTATACTATGATGTCATCCAAGTAATACAAAAATAATTGAAACCAACTGATCACAGCAGTTTTCTATTTATCTAACTTTATACATGTATAGAATTAGGTAAGACCACTAACCTAATGGTTGAGTAATAAATTCTGCATATGCTTCCTTCCGTTCCCTCTGTTCCAAAGGGAGCTGCCATGGCATTTGGTGAGGCTTTGCCAGAAGTTTTACTTTGTATGTTGAATTTGACTTTAGGTTCATAAAACTATACTTATAACTGGCAGCCTTAACAATGTCATATTCCTCATCATTTAGGAAAATGACATGGCTGTAATTGCTGTTGCTTGGGAGCCAGCTGAGTTCAGCAGACATTGGAGTGATGTTGTCAACCTTGAGATGAGAAGGTGCTACGATGACATCTTTCCCAACTAACAAAGTACACTGCAGTTCATCTGAGTTGCCTCGATCTGTGACTGTCTGGATCGATATGCGATAGGTAATTGTGGCGAGATCCAGTTTCTCAATAAGACTTTTGGTTCTACTCCCAAAGTTCATAGTTGCACGGACTTCTTTTCCCACCAAGATATTATAACTGTGGATGGTACCCCAGCCCAGTGGCACTAGTGGTGGCTCCCAACCCACAATAACACTTTTGGCGAGTTGTTTGATAAGGGTTATTTTACGAGGATAAGGCACAATGTCTTCTCCAATCTCATCAATGTTCACATCCATGGTCCCTGTGCCATTGTTCAGCACACTGGACTCTATGTGAATGTGGGGTGTGATCTCCAGTTTGTGTTCCCCTTGAAGAAGAGGGGCTGAGTGATTGAGAAAATTTTCTTCCTGTTCACTGGCCAAAGTGCTCGACATATGAAATTCATCATTTTGCACAAAATCAACAAAATTTGAAGGTACAAGCCCTCTCTGGCCATCCAGCAGCTCTCCTGGGTAAAGAAAATATACAGAGACATATAAGAACTCCCCTAATTACAGTTCACTGGAAAACATTTGTTGAGTTTTAACAAACATACAATTTATACAAATGCAAAGATGAGTATACGACTACTTTCTCCTGGTGTCTCCCATCCAGTTATATAGCTTATGTTATCCAAAAAATTCAGTTACAAGACAAATAAATTCAGTTACAAGTTACATTTTTCTCAGGCATTATTTTCAGCATTGGAACGTTTGGTGATATTTTAGACAGCATAAGCTATATAACTGAGAGGGAGAGACCAAGTAGTAGTAGAAGGAGTTCTATACCCATCTTTGCATTTGTATATATGCTTGTTAGCATCAGAAAATTATTTTAATATGAATTTATGCAATAATAAATTCGGTCTCAATTTTAGCTGAGTTGTGACATACACTATATTGCCAAAAGTATTGGGACACCCCTCCAAATCATTGGATTCAAGTTTTCCAATCACCTCCATGGCCACAGGTGTAAAAAACCAAGCACCTAGGCATGCAGACTACTTCTACAAACATTTGTGAAAGAATAGGTCGCTCTCAGGAGCTCAGTGAATTCAAGTATGGTGCCGTGGTAGGTTACCACCTGTCCATCGATAAAATTTTCTTGCTACTAAATATCCCACGGTCAACTGTTAGTGGTATTAGAACAAAGTGGAAGCAACTGGGAACAACAGCAGTTCAGCCATGAAGTGGTAGGTCATGTAAAATGACAGAGCGGGGACAGTGCATGCTGAAGCGCACAGTGTGCAGAAGTCGCCAATTGTCTGCAGAGTCAATAGCTAAAGACCTCCAAACTTTGTGTTCTTCAGATTAGCACAACAACAGTGCATAGAGAGCTTCATGGAATGGGTTTCCATGGCCAAGCATCTGCATCCAATCTTTACATCACCAAATGCAATGCAAAGCGTCAAATGCAGTGGTGTAAAGCATGCTGCCACTGGAGCAGTGGAGATGTGTTCTCTGGAGTGACGAATCATGCTTCTCTGTCTGGCAATCTGATGGATGTGTCTGGGTTTTTGCGGTTGCCAGGAAAATGGTACTTGCCTAACTGCATTGTGCTCATTGTACCAAGTGTAAAGTTTGTTGGAGGGGGAATTATGGTTCGAGGTTGTCTTTCAGGGGTTGGGCTTGGCCCTTTAGTTCCAGTGAAGGGAACTCTTAAGGCGTCAGCATGCCAAGACATTTTGGACAATTTCATGCTCCTAACTTGTGGGGATGGCCCCTTCCTGTTACAACATGACTGCGCACCAGTGCACAAAGCAAGGTCCATAAAGACATGGATGAGCAAGTCTGGGGCGGAGGAACTTAACTGTCCTGTACAGACTGTCCTGACCTCAACCCGATAGAACACCTTTGAGATGAATTAGAGCAGAGACTGCAAGCCAGGCCTTCTCGTCTAACCGCAGTGCCTGAGCGCACAAATGCGCTTCTGGAAGAATGGTCAAACATTCCCATAGACACACTCCTAAACCTTGTGGACAACCTTCCCAGAAGAGTTGAAGCTGTTATAGCTGCAAAGGGTGAGCCAACTCAGTATTAAACCCTACGGACTAAGACTGGGATGCCATGTGCGTGTAAAGGCAGGTGTCCCAATACTTTTGGCAATATAGTATATATTAGTACCTAAAATGTACCTAAAATGTCCTATAGCTGGTGAAACAATTTATAAATTATAATGATCTCGTAATATTCATATACCGTATTTTTCGCTCCATAAGACGCACTTTTTTACCCCCAAAAAAGGGGGGAAAATGTCAGTGCGTCTTATGGAGTGAATATAAAGCAGCCGGTCCAGTATTTCTGCTGCCACCATGTCAGAATACCGGGCCGGCCGCTCAGCTGTTCTCTCCCTGCAGGGCCTTACCTGTTCCTCGCTCCAGCGCTGCACAGTCTTCCCGCACTGGCTTCTGTGACAGCCGGATGCCCACTGCGCATGTGCTGCGCTTTGTGAATGATCCGGTGTCTTCTGGGACACATGACAGGTCCCAGAAGGCACGGGCCATTCACAAAGTGCAGCGCTTCTCACGCATGCGCAGTGGGCAGCCGGCTGTCACAGAAGCCGGCCCGGGAAGAAGGAAGGAAGGACAACTCCGCGGAAGTGGGAGCGGGTACCTGTCAAATTCAGGTACCCTCTCCCCCTCCCTCCCCAAAGGTCAGTAGTCTCTGGTCATTCCCTGCACTGTCTGCAGTCTCTGGTCATTCCCTGCACTGTCTGCAGCCTCTGGTCATCCCCTGCACTGTCTGCAGCCTCTGGTCATCCCCTGCACTGTCTGCAGCCTCTGGTCATCCCCTGCACTGTCTGCAGCCTCTGGTCATTCCCTGCACTGTCTGCAGCCTCTGGTCATCCCCTGCACTGTCTGCAGCCTCTGGTCATCCCCTGCACTGTCTGCAGCCTCTGGTCATCCCCTGCACTGTCTGCAGCCTCTGGTCATCCCCTGCACTGTCTGCAGCAGCTCTGGTCATTCCCTGCACTGTCTGCAGTCTCTGGTCATTCCCTGCACTGTCTGCAGTCTCTGGTCATTCCCTGCACTGTCTGCAGTCTCTGGTCATTCCCTGCACTGTCTGCAGTCTCTGGTCATTCCCTGTACTATATGCAGTCTCTGGTCATTCCTGCACTGTCTGCAGTCTCTGGTCATCTCCTGTACTATATCCGCAGTCTCTGGTCATCTCCTGTACTGTGTCCGCAGTCTCTGGTCATCTCCTGTACTGTGTCCGCAGTCTCTGGTCATCTCCTGTACTGTGTCCGCAGTCTCTGGTCATCCCCTGTACTGTGTCCGCAGTCTCTGGTCATCCCCTGTACTATGTCTACAGTCTCTGGTCATCCCCTGTACTGTCCGCAGTCTCTGGTCATCTCCTGTACTGTGTCCGCAGTCTCTGGTCATCCCCTGTACTGTGTCTGCAGTCCATTGGTTCAGAATATTTTTTTTTTCTTGTTTTTCCCCTCTAAAACCTAGGTGCATCTTATGGTCAGGTGCATCTTATGGAGCGAAAAATACGGTAAATATAAATTGGCATATATACAATACCATTTTTTTTTTCTTAAACATTTATGTTTGTTTGTATCAAAAAGTAACACATATACAGTACATAATTTTCACATAATATTCCAAATGTACATATGCTTAAAGAATAATTCTAGACATCAGCATGTTATACATAGTCACATGTAATGTAACTATTAATGCTTCGTACCTGGCTGGTGCCACTACTTCAGTGATCTCTACTTTCTTCCAGGTCCCATGCTCAGGGGCTGGCCTGATGCCTTGTGAACACAGGCGTTTGGCTGCTCAGTACAGGTGCCATTCGGAGAATGCTTTGCATTCTGAGTGAATACAAAGTGTTCTCTGATTGGAGGAAGTGGAGAATGTGACATCACCACCCTGCCTCTCCACCTGATCCAGAGAAGGCTTTGTAATCATTCAGAAAATTTAAAACATTCTCTCAATGGCACCTGGGCCAAGCAGCCAACCTCCTGTGTTCACAATGCCGGAGAGCAGCCGCTCGACACAGGACCCAGAAGGAAGTAGAGATCACTGAAGCAGCAATGTCTATTTCAGTGATTATCAGCTTTCAGCGGCATTGGCCACATATGTCAAAAACATAGTTACATTATATTGTTCCAAGCTGGACCAATATAATTACAGTATGTATAAAATGCCATTGCTTGTAATTTTTTTTTATAGTATATTAATAGCTAAAACCACAGTTGATGCAAGAAATCTGGCATCACCTCTAGCTGAACCCAACGCCAAAGTGACACATTACAGGCCTTACCTATGGCTTCTTCTGTAGGTCAGCTAACAGAGCTGGTGGTCATCCTACTCAGATAACTGCAATGAAGAGCACTCTTGGCTCAGCAGTATTAAAGAAAATCGTTAGCAGAAAAAGGATTTTAAATTAAATAAAATTTCCTGAGAGGAAAAGACATCCTTTCTCCTAGGACACTAGCAAAACCTGAGGCATACTGGGAGTAGGAAGGGTTATCTTGCCTCACATCAAGGTCTGTTTCTTCTATATGTAGCAATATATACCCAGCTGTCTCTGAATAACCTTTGTCCCTTAATTAACAATTAAAAAATAAGCATTCTGTGTCAACACATTACTGCTTCTTGTATTTGGAAGCTATACTGTACATTTTAGTTTTATACCATACATTGTGTTTATTATATTAAGAGATTTTTACTGTTTTACAAAATAGGAAGTAACACTGTTCCAATTCAGTTAGAAGAATATATTGGAGAACTGAGCTAACACCCACAATTTAAAATATAGGATTAGTCAGATTGTTGCCCCTGATATGCACAAACTTAGCCAAAACTGACCGTATTTTGAGAAAACCTTCAGATATATAGTAAATGTATAAGAGGATTAACTGAAATACCTTCATAAAACCCATCCTCATCCATATCTCCATATACATAGAGGTATTTTCCTGCCACCAGGGGAAGTTCTGCCTCTGGGTTTTCATTTGGTCCATCAAAGGGATTATAACTATGATAACAGGACAACAAAGTGAGAGAGAGAAGGGAACATAAACAATAAGAGAAAGTAAATGCCGTTACCTCTTAGGATCCAGCATTATGACTAACCATGACTATGAGTAAAATGCATCAAATTCCTTGTCAATGAATGTAGCCGAAATTATTTCCATAAATTAAAACACCTAACAAAGAGTACGTTTACTGAAGTGTGGATTGTGTAATATTTTACCAATTTTAAGAAAGAGAGCATTTCCAACTGGGTTATTAATAGTACATTTGTAAATTAATATTTTAAATAAAAGTCTTGCAGTTTAAAGTATGAATTAAAAATGTAAATATCACATTAAACTAAATTACTGTAATCAGTAATGCTAAATAAAATAAGGAGTAATGAAAGAAAAAACTAGAACTATTAAACTAGCAAAAGAGAGTTGTGACTATAAGTTACGATTTCCAACAACTCCTTTGTGAGCAACCATCAAAGTAACTTTGCGTTTCTATTTCTTCAGTCATAGTAATAGTGTTGTTATTGTTGGGTGAGAATATCAGGATGCACATGCAAAACTTGCATATAACTTGAGTTGAAACTAAATTCTGTTTTTTTAGGCTGTGCAACTCCTTTAAATCCAATAATAATAAAATAATAATAAAAAAAAACTTAATTGCTTATACATTTGTTGTTTTTGCCACCAGGAACATGTATAGGGGGTAATGCAACTCACTCGCCTCCCACATGAAAGTGCTGGTGCTTGATATTTGGCCATTTCGGCACCCAACATCAAGCTGCAAGTTGGTGATATAAACAGAGCTAAAGATTCCTAACTCTCAGAAGCCAAATGGAGCAAAGGGTAGGTAAGAATGTGCAGCTGTTTCACTTTGAACTAGACCTGTTGTTTTTCTCTGTATATGCAAAGCACCGACTCACTTTACTTTTTAAGCTTTACATCTGATCTAGGCTGCTAACGCTGAAAATGGAAAATTCCCAATATCCAGTTCTATATTAAAATGCAAAAATGATCATGTATATATATAAAAAATGCTGTATAACTTGATTTATATTGTTTATACCTGGCAGGAGGTAGGAAATTGGTCATTACCTGTAACGTGCAATACAAAGGTGTACTTTCCCAGAGTATCTTTGCTTTGAGGTATTCGTATTCTGTTCATTATCCATCTGGAGGAAACAGACCATTACTTTATTATCTAGGCAGTCTAAAGCATATGTATAGCAAAATATTTTTTTTTTATAGAGTAGGGAAGGGTTAGAACCTCTGTCAGTGAATTACTGTCTGTGTCCTGTTGGGGAAATTACCCTTTGCTTCCTGTCTTAGAGATGCTACGAAGTGAGGAAATCTCTACACATTTAGATGAATACCCCTCTTAATAGTTGCTAACAAACGTGTCCCACTTGGAAGATTCACCCTCACCTCTTGTTTTGGTGACAGCTCTGATTTTTTCTTGTTTTCTGTTCAGGTGGCAATAGTCACCAGGATACATAGAGAAGGTGAATCTACCAGTAGCTCCAACTAAGGGAGTGCTTAACAGCCAGGAATTCCCAGAGCCATGATATCCCCCATGGACTCCCATTGCCCAACAGTTGCCGGTGCTCCCTTCTTTCAACTGCTCACTGACACAGGGGAGCTGGAGCTGTGGGATTATGTGACCAAACTGGAGAGGAATAAATACAGGTATGTGTAGATTTTATTTATACAGGTTAGGCAGGATAGGTAGGAGGAGGGGGAGGGAACATTTTTAAGACTAGTAAAACCTAGGTGTTTCTTCCACTTTAAGGAATCCTCTATTGACAAAACATTAAAGTGATACCTCAGTCTACATACAGCACCCAAGGGATGTGTGTCCAGCTGCTCTACGAGGGTAGTGCTGTCCCATCATCCTTGTGTGTATACTATACATCTATGGCTTTTTGAGATTTTTGCTGCCACCAAGGCTTCTTATAATTATAAAAAAGTCTGGCCATGGTGGCCTAAAGTAAAATTATGGACATGCAAATAATTACATAATCTTAACAATCTGTCAATAAGCTTTAACCACTTAAAGCTTGAAGGTAAAATAATTACCAATGCCTGAATGCAATTTTTCAACTTTTGCATATATTAATAAAACTGTACATACAACTATTTAGTGCATCTTTATTTAGATTTTCTATAAGTATAATCATACATGAAATAACACAAATACAATCATAATTCCACATAAATAATATATCTAACCAACACATACAAAAAACACAAAAAAGGAAAAAGCAAACTCAACATCACTATCAGCAACTCTCAACACTTGCGTTCCTTAGTTTTTGTTATTGTTACAGATGTAAGCTTAACACAAATGATCACTGAGCTCAACCAAATACAACTCTAAATAAACAAGTGTTTAAATGTGTCAAGATGCAAACTCAATCCATGGCACCCACTGAGTATAGATTTTTTTTTTTTTTAAATTAATTGTTGCATCTATAGCTCTAAATCTCAGGAACTCTTTAACATCTTGCTAAAAATGTATAGGAAGATTCTTATATTCCAGAACTGATGGAGGATGTGTGCATTTTAGTTATTTCATCCACCACACTTCCTGGCAGAATCTTACACTTTCCCAGTCCTTAATATAAATAGGGAACCATTTGTGAGGGTAAACCACTAAGTAATTTATAGGAAGTGGAGAGCAAACTGAGTAGGTAGATCTCTCAAGATACACAATGTTTCGAAAGAAGTTAAAAAAACATCATGGGTTTTGACTTTTTATCTAAAGTATTAAAAAAGGTGATTTGGGAATGTTTTGAGACATCCATAATGTACCTACCTCTCCTTCCTGAAAACAGAAAGATGTTTCAGATCAGAGCCTTCCAAAAATGTGAAACACCTAATTTCTGTTTTGCCTCCCCATGTGTTAAAGAATGCAAGCTCTTCCCCAGGTACAAGCCTCCCATCAGTATAAACAGTGATTGAAAAGGTACTAGACTTCATAGTTCATTCAGTCAGTCCCAGACCTTTAAGATTGCTTGTGTCAGGTGCAAAAATGAATTTGCCAGGCCTTTATGCTCCTTGGGAACCAAAGGGGTACGGGCCAGGTTCCGGCCTGACATTTTTTCCAGAGGAACCCACAGTTTATCTTAACAATTTGCAATCCTCATCAGTGCATTGGCCTGGTAGTAGAAATAGAGATCTAGAAGACGCAGGCCACCTTTTTCTTTAGTTTTTTGTAACAGCTTGCATGAAAGCCTTGGGGATTTTTTCCCCAAACAAACCTTATAAATTCCTGTTTTAAATTTTGGAAATAGGACAAGGACACTTTAATGGAGAGCATTTGAATAAAGAATAAAAATCTAGGGTGAATCGTCATCTTCAGAATATTTATCCTACCCAACCAAGTAAAGTGTAACTTATCCCATTTTTTTAAGGTCTTCTCTAATCCTTTGCAAAGTGGTGGAGAATTATGAATAAGTCCTGTATCCTAGTAGTCAACCTTAATCCTAGATAAGTAATGGGGGTGTTTTGCCACTTTAAAAGGAAGGGTGCTTCCATGGACTCACATTCTAATTTTGTCACATTAATGGGGAGGATAACAGGCTTGCCCATATTAATTTTAAAATTGACAAAGTCTTGGAATGTCACAAATTCTCTCCAATGGTTATGTAGAGTTATGCAAGGTTTTGGCAAAAAAACAAAACGGCGTTCACAAAATCTGTACGTTTGTGCTCTGTTGACCCCACTGTAACTTCAGAGATGTGTGAGCTGACCCTTTTTATCATGATCAATTTTTCCATCATTAGAATAAACAGCAAAGGGGATAAAGAGCATCTCTGATGTGTCCTGTTCGTGATAGAAAAACGTGATGAAATTATATTAACTTTTAGAGATCAAAGCCTGAATTTTCTTCCATAAATCAGGTTTTTGATAAATCGTTTTTTAAGCACAGAGGTGATGTTAAGAGTACACTCTAAGGATCTCTTGGTATGTTTGCCAACATTTATGCCCCTAACCCAGGAGAGATTGCTTTTATAGTGGGAAGAGTGAAACACATTGGGGGCATAACTTGGTTGGAGCCCAGCTGTGGCTTGCATACACCTTCTTACAGTTAAGGAAAGTAGAAAGACAGCGCTGGACCTGCAGGTATACTCCACTGGTATTATCTTAAGATAATATGTTGGTGTAAATGATCTGGTTCCTGGGCAGGCAGCTTCTACAGGCCAGCAGATGATCTCCACAGTCTCTCTGGCTTGTAGTGTATTGTAAGAAAGGTTGAAATTGAAGCACCACACCACTGCTAAGAGGCCCAGATACAACTTTATTCCATACCTGGCAAGATGGCGTCCGGAGCAGCTGTGTGACCGCCAGCTCCGGCGCCCCCGCACTCCATCCGCTGCCATCCGCCACCATCCGGACCCCTGAGCTGCCGCCGAGGTCCCCGCCAACACCCTGAAGGGGTCCTGGACACTCCATCCCTCCGGCGGAGCTCCGGTGGGTCAAGGCCTACTACGGCCTACCGCGGCACCCAAAGCCGTGGTGTTTCCTGCCGGCCGCGGCCAGGATCGCGGCCGCGACAGGACGCCTCCGCTCCATCCCTAGGACAGGGGAAGCTGCCACCACCCCTACTGGTCCTGCCGACATCCAGGAGGGGTCCTGAGCCGCGACGAACCAGGACCCCGCCGCCCAGCCCAGCCGCCATCACACTGCTAGCCACCAGGTACACTATTGGGGGCACCTACTATCCACCAGGAAGCCCAGCCGCCATCACACCGCTAGCCAACAGGGACAGTAACAGGGGCACCTACTACCCACCAGGGACTACAAACCACCACCAGGGACTACAGGCCACTATCCCACCAGGGATCGCAAGCCCACCATCCAGCCAGGGACCGTAAGCCCACCATCCCTCCAGGGACCGCAAGCCCACCATCCCACCAGGGATCGCCAGCCACCATTCCGCCAGGGATCGCAAGCCCACCATTCCGCCAGGGATCGCAAGCCCACCATCCCGCCAGGGACCGCAAGCCCACCATCCCGCCAGGGATCCCCAGCCACCATCCCACCAGGGATCGCAAGCCCACCATCCCGCCAGGGACCGCAAGCCCACCATCCCGCCAGGGATAGCAAGCCCACCATTCCGCCGGGGATCGCAAACCCACCATCCCGCCAGGGATCGCCAGCCACCATCCCGCCAGGGATCACCAGATGCCATGCTCTACATCAACTCCAGATGCTGTGCCCTGCTTCATCTCCAGACGCCGTGCCCTGCATCATCTCCAGACGCCGTGCACTGCATCATCTCCAGACGCCGTGACCTGCATCATCTTCAGACGCCGTGCCCTGCACTATCCCCAGACGCCGTGCCCTGCATCATCCCCAGACGCCGTGCCCTGCATCATCCCCAGACGCCGTGCCCTGCATCATCCCCAGACGCCGTGCCACAGCACCCACGGCCCCCAGCCTACAGCACCCACAGACTGCAACTTGCCACCTGCTGACCCAGCCACCCATCACTCTCACTCTCCTCCTACAGATGGACACAGATGAACTCCGCCATGACGTGACAGACTCTCCGCATCATCACGCCCTGATATGAAACCTCTCACCTCCCCGATCTGACCAGCACTCCGCTCACCCTAACATGCCACCTTCACTCCTCCTCCTCGTATTCCTCTCCTCCATTCCCAAAATTGCCTCCCCCTACCCCCCTACTCCCCCCAAAACAGCTCTACATTGCTCCATCACTTCTTCCTTTTCCCCACTACGGCTCTCACCACCTCCTCCTAATACTCCACTCTCCCGCCGACCCTCACGCCACCACTAACAGATCCACTCGCTCCTGTACATCCCGTTCCCATGCTGCCTTCCTCACCCTTGTAACCGCCGGTGACATCTCCCTGAATGCTGGCCCCCCACCTCCCCACTCCTCCTCTAGGCACCGTCCTGCTCCCACCAGCTGCCGCAACTCTCTCAACCTCATACCCGTCCCCCTGATCCCTGCATCCACCCCTCCTCTCTCGGTTGCACTTCTGAACACCCGCTCGGTTTGCAACAAGCTCACCGCCATCCATGACCTCTTTGTCTCCCACTCCCTCAACCTCCTAGCGGTCACCGAAACCTGGATCCAAGCCACTGACTCCACCTCCCCTGCAGCACTTACCTATGGAGGCCTCATCTGGACCCACCCACC